ATCGACAAAAAAGATGTCGATTATAGTAGTATAATCGACAGAAAAATGACTGTCGATTATAAATTTGTCGGTTATACTATGTTTTCTAGTAGTGATCCCTTAAATGAAAACAATTAATCATATAATAACAATTCATGATTTTAAACTTATGATGTCATATGTCATTATAATTATATTATTTTAATGCAATAAATAAGAATTTAGTTTGTGCTGATCTAAAATATTAATTAAGAATGACCAACCTGCTCAACTTGTTTAAAAATCAACTTTCAAAAACCAACAACTAGTTATGGTGTTCAAATTTCGAGTTATGTCCAAGAAAAGGGAAACAAACAGAACGGTCTTCGATATTAAATCCAATGCTTTAAAGGAAAGAAGTTTCAAATTAAAGGCCTCGTGTCAAAAATATTGAAAATAATCATATAAGTCGTTATTTCCTGATTATGTGTAGTTGAATGAATGCCAATGACTTAGTAATTCAACAATGATAGATCTCATTTCATTGACAGATCAATGTTAGATGATAAAGGTTTTTTTAATTTTTAGGCATTAATAGGTATTGGTGGAACCTATCAATTTTTTAAATTTTTAGCTGAAAAATAAAGACATAAACTACAAAAGTTATTTATTATAATTATGACGGACTAGGTAATTAACCAACTACACATAGAGATTCCATTATTAGTAATTTGACTATGGTTTATCTCATTTCATTGATAATCAAATGTTAGATGAAGGTAGTTTAATTAGGTCTTCATAGGGATTTTGTGGTAAACCCATCAATTTTTGAAACTTCTTACCATGAAAAATAATAAAGACATAATTAAATTACAAAATTTTGTAGAAAGTCATTTATTTATTATGATGGACTGGGTAAACACCCGGACATTGAGAGTCCACTATTATTTCTCTCAAGATTCAAACTCAACGGTTTCACCTTGCTTGTATACAACTTTTTCACATTTGATCTTTGATCATTTAACAACTTCACTAAACTCCTCTTCGCATTCGGCCTGAACGGACAGTTAGATGCCAAGAATCCATCGACCAAATGTAAATACGCCTCCAAATCATGACAACATGCGACATCGGCGTTCGGCTTCAGGTAAGGTGACATCTTCGTATCCACCCGGAGCTCTGTTCCCACATGCGAGTACGCCCACGGGTTGTTCTTGTCCAGAACATCCCACATTTTTCCGATGTTTTTGTCTTTTGACTCTTGCTCTCGTTCTTCACCCACGAAAACGCCCGGAACTTTGGTGATAAGATCTTGGTTGTTCACAATCCGGAGCACTTTTACGTTCTTTGAATTAATCCGATCGGCGAAGCTCCGGTTTCCTACCCGAGGCCCTCCAAATGAAAATACGGCAATGGGTGGAACTTGAGGTGCACATGATGAGGCTAGTTCGTCGGCGACTAGGAGAGCCAGCGCCGCCCCTAGGCTGTGGCCGGTGACGGTTATGCTTAAGGCCTCGCCTTTGTATTGTTCCATTAATCGTTTTACTTCTTCCACGACGGTTTCTGCAAGGCTGGGCACGTGAGTTCCACGTGTCTTGTGTAAACTCAAGAACCCGCATGCGACTTTTTGGGCCGGGTCGTCGGATTCGGGGAGTTCAACCAATTGGGCTCGGACATTTTCGGCCCATTCTAAGCAGGTGGCGGTACCGCGTAGTGCGATGACGATGTCTCTCCTACCCATCCGTTGGATCTCCCGTCTGTCGTCGCAAACGGCGACGTACCCGATCCAGCTAGATCTTTGGGTCATCCACCCAAGGTCCGGTACCACGTCATCCACCCACTTCGGCAGGCCGACGGCTGCCGTGGCGTAGAGACTCTTTGTCATCTTATAGGACCTTTCAGGCAATGCTACGTGTCTAGGGAGTGGGACCTCCTCCGCCGGTGTGGCGGGATTGGAATGAAAGGCGTGGTATGCAGCCTGAACAAACTCCCCGTACCTAACCACCTCCCGGCGGAGGTTCTCGTCGAGTGGGTCAATCAACCCCGCCCAATCTTTACACCCATGGTACTCACGCCACCGAGAAGCGAGGTTGTTCCTGGGGGAATACTCCGCCGTCATGGATAAAAGACGCTGGAGCCGATTAAAATGCCTAGGAGACATCTCTTCGGCGGCCTTTGGCTCATCCCAAATCCTAGGCAAATTGAGCCCTTCTAGTAAACCCATCCCCTTATTTTCTGGCGCCGGCCCATTGTTGGGTACTTTGTTAACCACTTCTTGTGGAGCCGGGGCGGGCTGGTTTGATTTCTGGAGGACTTTATCCAGGTTGGAGAGGTGTTGCCGGGTCATCTCAGTGGAAGCCAATGATCTAATAATGGGTTTCGTTAAGGGGTTCAGCCGCGACCGCTGGCATTTGAAGGCGGCCGGTTTAGCCTGAAAGTGATTCAAATTTTGTGCCGGAAGAGTTGCGCAGATCTGCATCGGAGAGCGTCAACAGAGGTAGGAAGCGAAGGGGAGAAACTGTCTGAGTAAGTTGAAAATTAGTGGGATTGAACGGATCAAGTAAGTGTATTTATAGGCACAATTTGCCTAAAATGCCCACTGTTTGTGTTGTAATTACACACTGTTGGAGATTGTTTGGGTTTCGCTATGTGGTAATTGGTAAAATTGAAAATGGACAGGAGTTGACCATTTCGGTCTGCGGGCTGGGTTCACTGTAGGAAAAGTCCGCAGCAAACCAAATGTCATCAGAGAAAAGCGTCAGGTTTTGAAGTTAAATAGACCGAAACACCTCCTTCAACGCAGCTGGCCCTTTCATACTGTAATTATCCCAAAATTTGGTTTTTTTTTTTTTTTATTTTTTTGTTTTTTATTATTCTTTTTAATTTTCAATTATTTCATATTCAATTTTTTTTACTCTTCTTTATTGAGGAATTTTTTTCACGGTTTTTTTTTTATTTACAAAATTTAAATTTAATATTTTATTTTAAAAAAATTAAGTCATTTTCACACAAATCAATAAATTGTTGGTATTTCAAAATTTGGTTAGTTGACGACGGAGACATTATTTTGCTTACTTTTTAATTCCTATCCAAAACGGGTAGGATAAAGAGAACGCTTAGTGACCACTACTTTTTTCTTTTTTCTTTTTGTCAGGAATTTTTCATGTAAATTTAAAAGTATAGAATTTAAATCCTACCTTAACATTAAAAAACAAAATGGGTAGATAAAAAAAAAATACCGACATAACAATCGTCACTGCAAATGAAAGAAAAATTCCTTGTTACCTTTTTCTACCGTAGGATGTCATAATAGGTGTTGTGGTAAATATTATTTTAATATGATTTTAATATAAATTATTATAATAAAAAATTATAAAAAGAATTTTTTAATGAATTAACTTTAATTTTATTAATTTTATAATCAGAATTTTATTTATAGGCACTAAAAATATATTTTATTTTTATATTTTTTATATACATTAATAAAAAAAATATGCCATTAATACACTCATAAATTGTGCAACAAACTCGTTTTTGGTGAAAGAAATTTAAAATTGTATGACAGGCGCTCCCCATCAAGGAGATGGACATTCTCATGGTATAAGTGGCTGTAGATTTAAAATAAAATAACACCTTTTGAGTGCACATATTGACTTTCAAGTTTCAACAAGGTCAGCCTTACTGTACAGCCGTGATTCCGTCCAAATGAATAATATTCATTGAAAATGATTGATATATTTTTTGTTTTAATATTTTTTTATTTATTGATTTAATTATTAAAATATAATATAAATATAATTAATTTAATTAATTTTTATATACTATATGTATTGTTATATTTATATATTTGTATATTTTTAATTTTATATTAAAAATAATAATTTTTAATAAATATGTTATATAGTATATTAAATTAAAAAACTAATTAATATCTTAATTACTTTTATAATTGAAATGTTAATTTATACATTAAAATTCAGAAAATGGTTAAATTAAAATATCATATTACTTGCATTTGGACCTTTAGTCCAGTGACATTAGGACATATATAAATGCATTTTCTCACCTTTAGAGTAACGATTCGAACCGACCCCTTACAAATTTGTTAAAAAATATATATATTATATTACTTAACCATCTAACTTTTTCCCTATGGACAAGATTGTGGTGGTATATATATATATATTATTTGTTTAAAGAAGGAGAATTTTAAATGTATGTTAAGAATTTTGCAATATAAAAGGGAATTTGTTTCACTGTTGGAATTGTAAAGTAAAAATTATGGAATTAGGGAGAAATTTTTAGTATTAGAGGCTTGATTTTTATTTAATAATTAGTATTATATGGTTTGAACTATACAATATATATATTTTTTTCAATATAAAATACTAACTTTTTATAATTTGCTTGAAAATTGGCATATAATTTGTTTATCAAAAGAAAAAGGAAAATAGTATGTGAATTCTTAAATTCCTTGTCTCCAAAATAATTGGAATAATATTGTGGTTCTACTACATGTTAGGTCGTTACATTTCATGGTTGGATTAGTTTGTGCGATTTTATTTGAAAATTCAAGTCTTCATCTTATACTTTTGATTTTTGAAAGCCTCTTCCCTACATAGTACTTTCAAACCCGTGGTTGTATAATCTCATCCTGTTCTTCCTGATACATATTTTTTCATGGTTTTCGAAGACATTATTTTTATATATTAGTGTTTATAAGTTAAATATGTAAAAAATTAGGTGAAAATACATTTTAAAATTATATTGTTTTAATAAAATATCACAAAAAAATAAAACAATATTATTTTAAATTTTTTGATCTAATTTGTTTATAAATTTGACTGATAAATATTTTTTTATTATTTTTTATATATAATTAAGTTAGATAGATAGCATTAAGTGCTTCAAAAAAGGGCTAATTGTGGTAACTGGTAAGAATAAGAAAGTTCGGTATTTCCTGATGCAGTAAAAGGTTGAATTTCTCACATCAGAAAAAAATACTAATTAAGAAAAGAATTCCAAGTCAAACCGGAAAACTTCATTTTCAGGTTGTTCCAGGATTGTTAAGCTTAATCGTGTTCGGTTTACAGCCTCACGTATTCGCTTGTGTAATAAAATTCTTCCTAATACTCTCGTCATGACCGGATGTTTTTTAGAATCTTTCAAAGTAAATAGTTGGCCTCGAAAAAGTTAATTGTTGTTGAACGTTTAAGGTGGGCTTGAAATTGTTTTGAAATGCTGTGCCTGGTTGTTGTAGTTGTAATTGTAATAATTTGTATTGTATTATAATTGTAATTAAAAATTATTTTACTATTTTAGTTATTTAATTTTTAAAAGTATTATGAATTACATATAGTGGATTTTATTAATTATTAATTTAATTTTTAAAAATATTGTAAGATATATAATTATTAAAATAAATAATATTTACTTTTTAAAAAATCATTTAGGTTTTTTAAATTTATTATAATTATTAAAATATTATAAATTATGATACAATTAAATTATATAAAATTGAATTTTAATGAATAATTTTATAATTATATTAAATAGTATGTGTTGTCTTTAAAACTTACTGTTAAAAAGTTTTAAATTAAGTCTTTAAAATGAAGTTTTTAATTTTATATATAAAATTATTATAGATTTGTTATGGTTTTATATAACTTTTAGTATAAATAATTTGAAGAAAATTACCAAACACATATATATCCAAAAATACTGTACAATTACATAAAAAAACTTACAATAGTAATTCCAAATGCATCCTTAGTTGCCTAAATAATAATTTAGGATGTGTTTGAAATTGTGGTTAGAAGTTTTTCTATGTGGTTATTCAGTATTTTTAGATATATGTGTATTTAGTAATTTTTTAAAACTATTTTTTCTAAAATCTGTAAAAAGCTACAATAAATCGATAGTAATTTTATATATATAACCAAAAACCTTATTTTGAAACTTTTTATCAGTGGTTTTTATGAAAAATATCTAATATTTAATATAATTATAAAATTATCTATTAAAATTCAATTTGGTATAATTTAATTATATTATAATTTATAATATTTTAATAATAATCACAAATCTAGAAAACCTAAATTTTTTTAAAAGTAAATATTATCTATTTTCATAATTATATATCTTACAATATTTTTTAAATTTTAATTAATAATTAATAAAATCTATCATATTTGATCCATAATACTTTTAAAAAAAAACCAAATACTAAAATAACTTTCAATTATAGTTACAGTCCAATATAGCTCAACATAATTACAACCACAGTTACAATTATATCATTTCATAACAGTCTCAAATGCACCATTAAGCACCTTTCAAAAAGAAAAAAAAGACAGTGAGCTCTAAAAAGCAATTGTTGTTGGGTGTTTAGTTGACTACGAATGCATCCGAGATTACAGTTATGAGTTTTTTTCATTTTAGATATATATGTGTTTGATAATTTATTTTTAAACTGTGTTTTCTAAAAGTTGCAGAAAATCAAAGTAAATTTATAGTAGTGTTATATATAAAACCAAAAACCTCATTTTAGAGTTTTCTAATTATAGTTTTTACAGAGAACATCTAATATTTAATATAATTATAAAATTATCCATTAAAACTCAATTTCATATAATTTAATTATATCATAATTTATAATATATTTAATAATGATAACAAATTTAAAAAACCTAAATTATTAAAAAATAGTAAATATTATTTATTTTAATAACTATATATCTTACAATATTTTTTAAAATTTAATTAATAATTAATAAAATCTATTATATTTTGTTTATAATACTTAAAAAAAATAAATAATCAAATATCAAAATAACTTTCAATTACAGTTATAATACAGCACAGTTCAACACAATTACAATTACAGTCATAACTACAGTCATAACAATATCTAAACACACCCTAAACTTAATTTAATTACGGCAAAATACCCAAATCCACCCCTCAACTATAGGGGCAGGGACTGATCCACACCCGAATAAAAAACGGGGACAAATCCACCCACAAATTTTTTGACTTAGACACATAACCCATTATTTGACGTCCCACGTCATGTGACATCATTATCTTGTTAACTATCCGTTAAGTCTGACTTTTTTAACACCTGGAATCTTAGGTGGCTATTTTTGTTGAATTGGACACAACTGCAGTCCAATTTCAACCCATTTTTTACATCGTGGCATTTCGCTTCCCTTTTTTGGCATTTGGGCTCCAGTTTAAATATCATAAATACCTCTTGAAATATATTTTCTTCTTTGTTTTACCCTCTATACCAATTTATTAGTGAATCGACTATTTTCATTTCATTATTTTTTAATTAATAAATTACATATTTAAATTTAATTAACTTAAATGATGAAAGACCATTTAAAAACTTAAATGATTAATAAGTAACATTTATTATTACATATTAATGGATTAACTCTAAAAAGACCAAATTAAAGATAAAAAAGAGTTAAAAGGAAATGCACAGTTCGTCTTCTCTGATGAGGCATCTTTCCCCACCCAATATCAACCGATTCATAT